CCTGCTGGGGATCAAAGTGAAATGCTTGTGACCAGGACCTTTGGGCCAGGTCTCAAATATGCATGGGACAGGGCATGAGCCCGAAGCCTGCCCCTTCCCTGGTCTGCCCTCTGTTTCTTCCTCGGTAAATAAGAATCCCGATGCTTCCTTCCCTGTCAGTCAGGTGAGAAGCAGGAGGCAGTTGTTGACTTCTGAGAGCTGGAGAGGGAGGAGGCCTCAAGGAGAAGCCGCGGGTCTGGAGGAAAGCAGCCCCCTCGGTGTTAAGCCTGATCCCTCCTCCTCTTGGTCAGTGAAACCGTGTTTAATCACCACCCTCCACCCTCCAAAGACTATATTCTTGTTTTCTAGAGAACTCTCCTCTCCTTCCTGGTCACGCCCACAGCTTCTCTGGGCTCCATCAGCTTGCCCTAAGCCAGAACCAACACCACCATCAGCTCCCCTCTTCTAGTAAGTTCTCTGTCTTGGGGCACAGCACCCTCTGCCTTCCCCCTCCTGGGCCCTGTCAGGCAAAGGAGGTAGTATCTATATAGTCGTCCCATTAAACTAGGCTTCGGGGGCTGCCAAGGAGAACTTCATTCCTTTCCCGAATCTGGATGAAAACTATTCACTCAACCACAACTTACACTCTGGACCATAAATCCAATTGTCTTCACGTGCCAGGGCTGCTCTCTCGCACACAACTCAGGGACCCTTCCCAGCTCTACCCTTGTTGCCTGCTGGCTACGGCTATTTGTGGAATCTCTGAACTGTCCAAAAGGGGATGAGCCAGGAAAATCCTCTTGGAAGGGTTTAGTCCAGATATTCACAATTTTAACTGCTTGTGAACTCAAGAACTTGTAGAGATGCATGGAAAACACCAAAACTCTTCCCCAAACTCACGTGCACTGATGTGTTATACCTGTGAAGAAAGAACCTGAGATGATTCATGCCAAAAGTAACCTAATTTAAAATGTGAATTAAAAAAAAAAAAAAAACCCATTGGGAATCCAATCCATGTTAGCACTCCAGCTACCGACTTCCTACGAGTGTGTCACCCTATCACAGTGGCGGGCAGTGCAAAGGCGAGAAAAAAGGTATATGGTCCCCAGACGCTTTGGGACTCTGTTGGGAGGCCATGTTAGCTGCTAATAAACAACCTGAGGATATGAAAATGCAGGTACGAAACAGGCTGTGATTCAAACTTGGTGACATGTAAGGAGCAGGGCCTCTGTATGTCCCAACTATAGAATGTTCTTGATAGTGGTACCAGCAGGCCCACCCCAACATCAATGAGTTGGAAGCTAGAAACTTCTCAGCAAAAGGCCCCTACAGACTCTGCGTTGCAGGCAGCACGGGTGCTCATTAACAGTTATAACAGCTTTGTAAAGTAGGTATTATTATTTCCATGTAACAGGTGGGGAAACTGAGGCTTTGAGAGGTGATTTGCCCAGGCCCACGTGGCTTTAAGGTCACACAGGTTTCAAATCCAACCCTTCTCTGACCTCCTCAGTCCATTCTCTCGACTGCCTTCCCTTTTGCAGGCCCTTTGAGTATTCTTCATACGGAAGATGTTTTCTTGTAAAAAATTAATTATTGAAAAGATTTTGCACCTTTCAGCAGCCCAGGCATCACAGATTTTGTCAAGGAAGAGGAGGCCAAACCTGGGGAGACTGACCGTCAGCCCAGATCTGGAGAGTCCAACAGCATCTAGCCCAGACGTGCAGAGCCCAAGAGCGTCTGGGGACAGAAGCAGACAGAAATTGCAGCTGCCAGTGAGGGCACCGGCCCTCAGGGGAGCAGGTAAGGACCAGTGTGGTTCATGCTCCTTGGTCCTCAGAGAGGAGAACTGACTTGTGCTGTAACCTGATCAATTTTATAGGGTTTTTAAAGCCTCACGCTTTTCTGTGAAGGAAAATGTATCTTAAAATGGAGCTTAACAGGTTTTAAAAGCAAACCATTGGATCTAGTTTCCTTCTCCAAGGGAGGCTGGTGGGGAAAGGCAAGGCGGGGAGGAGTTTATTTTCTGTTTTTCTCCGTCATTATTCCACAAGCGTGACTGTGCGTGGTTTTGTGTGGGTGCCCGCTATTAGGCTTCCAGAGAGGGCATTTGGGTGGTGGGTGGTGGGATTTAGGGAAAGGTGGGAGGTGGAGAAGTAGTCTACTGCTCTGGGAATGTCTCGCTTGGCCACAATTTTCACCCGCCTCCCAGGAGATGAGGATGGGTGTCTGTGCGTGGCGGACTGCTCACCTCCCACAGAGGTCTCTGCTCTGATCCAAGGGGTCAAGATCTTAATGTGTAAGAAATAACATCAAAATGAATACATGCTGTATTTCAAAATGCCGGTGTAACGGACACCTCCTCTTTCAGTCCTGAGCATCCATCCTAAGGGCCTAAGCCATGCTGCTCTGCTATCCATGTTGCCCTCTCCTGTGGTGGCAGAAGGACAAGACCTAAGGGACCCTCGTGGGACTCAGGGAAGCCACACTTGCCATGGACCCATTCTTCTTTTAAAGGAAACCACTGAGCATCATTCTTCCTCGCTACCCACTGAACACAGTAGTCTTTATTTTAAAATATGATATAGACTCTGGTGGACACATGTAAATATAGAAGATATTATTTGGATGGCTTGGAATTAGAGACAATTAGAGCATATGTGAACCTATCGCAACTAGATGTCCCCAGGCCTCCAGTGATCTAAGGCGGGGGTCTCCAACCCCCTGGCTGTGAACCAGTACTGGTCCTTGGCCTATTAGGAACTGGGCTGCCCAGCAGGAGGTGAGTGGAGGGCTGGCAAGCAAGGGAAGCTTCACCTGTATTTGCAGCCGCTTCTCAGCACTGGCATCACTGCCTCGGCTCTACCTTAGGTCTGCTGGAAAGGGCAGACCTCACTTCTAATTCCAGCTCTTCTTCCTCCTAGTGGTGTGGAGCCTTGGGTGGTCAAGTAGCCACTGTGGGTTACAGTTCTCTTAAAATAAAGATAATAAAAGCTACCCCATTGCATTGCTATAATAAGTAAAGGAAATAATATTCCGACCAGTACCTGGCTATAATGGACAGTAAACTATTGTTTCTCTCCTGCCACTTCCCAATGGCCCTCCATGAACTTGTGAATATTGTTTGAAAGGTGAGGTTCCCCATGTATGAAATGCACCTGGACCCCTGAGGCTCATACATCCTCCACCTGCACCCAGAAGACACTTTCCATTATCCCAAGATTCACTTGAGAATTTGTCCCAACTTTCTGTTATACTCAGGGCTCCTTATCTTCCCCTAATTATTTCCCTGCTAGTCTCCCTTTAATTTTTTCTCACATTCTAAAGTGGTTTGCATAAACTGGAGTAGGAGCCAGACGTTCGAATTGTATCAGAAATTTGAAGCAAATATAACAAAGAGGTAATATATAGGAAGCTCTTACAAATCAATAAGAAAAACATGAATACCTACTAGAAAAATAGGAAAGAGGCATAGCAGACAGTTTCATAAAAAAGATGCAGGTAGCTTATAATAAACATTAGATACCAGTAGCTAATAAACATAATAAATATTTCTTACACATTAAAAGTGCAGCCTCACTAAGGAAGAAATGTAAATTTACATGAGATAAATTTGGCCTACCAAATTGGCTAAAATTTTAAAAATAATAATACTGGTAGTGAAACTAATAACTAACATGTCCTGGGCACTGTTGTGTCACATGCTATGTCAAGCCCTTGACATGCATTGCTGGTGACACGGTTATGAGAGATGCTTTCATTTCCTACCTGTATGGTAACTTGATACAAACCGGAATTTGGCAACATGTGTCTAAGTCTTTAGAAAGTTTGTACCTTTTGACTTTGCAATTTTACTTCCTGTGGATCTATTCTGAGATGACAGTCAGAGATACGTGAGCAGGGACATTCATCACCGTGTAATTTGTGGCAGCAAAAATCTCGAAACAAACTGCATACCCAACAATAGGAGAAAAGTGAAACAAATTATGATACATTTATAGAATTTACCTTTGCACTAGAATTAATATATTCTGAAAGAATAATTAATGGCAGGTGATAATGCAAAAATAAAAATTGCAGACACCCAAATATCTCCATGTTGTTTCTTAAAACAGTATTTCCAGATGAGAGCCCCAAATGCCTTTGGGGAACAGGCGGGTAGGGCAGGAGAAATCGTAACAAAGGCTGCAGGGCCAGGGGTAAACCAGCACATGGGAGCGCCACCTAAAGGCATTGACTGAATTCCAGAACAGTAGCAATGGTCATCTTTTCGAGTTTTGGATTACGGGTGGTATTTCTTTGTTCTTCATCTTCTGTATTTTCCCAAATTTTCTACGATGAACACTGACTACTTTTATAACCAGAGGAACACAATGGAAAGTATATGGCAGTCGGAATGTAGGTATCTATCGGCCAAGTGCAGGAAGAAGTCTAGACCAAAGTCATGGCACAGTCTTGGGGCGGACGGATGCTTTTCCTGGTTTCATATCAGTTGCTAGAACACTCAGCTGCTCCTCGTTGAACTGCTGGAAACGGCAGGCACTCTATTCACAGCTGGAGCCCATGCAGAGCCTCAGAGAGGCGTCTGCAGCATCTGTGGGGCTGCTCTATGAATAGCATATCCCTGGCATTCCAAACTGGGTGTTTATTCCTGGGCCTAGAGCTTTGAAATCTGCTCCCTATTTGATAGACACAAGAAATAGGGTTAAAATAGCATAAATATAGAATGGCACAGTCTGCCACCTTTAGGGGAAACACACACACACACACACACATACACACACACACACACCAGGGGATCACTGATTGAATATTTGAAAAGAAAGGCAGTTACGGTGACAAGGAAGGGTGGAGATGCATTCCCTGGGGTGTTTCAGGATCCACAGGAGTGGCAGTGCAGCACTTAGCCTGTGACTTCTCCTGCTCCAGATCCAGAGGTCAGTGCCACCAGGTGACAGCTCTGTGGCTTCCGTGAAACAAGCTTATGGTTCCTGTTGGTTTCCAGTTTGTTTTTCAGAAGCTGCCCTAGCTAATTCTTTTGCCCGTTAGATGTCTCCCAAAGGCCGAACTGAATTGGTTCAGGGTGGGCAGAGCAGGCAGCTGCCACCCTCTAGCAAGTTCTGTGTGTTCACGGAACGACCAGAAGATTCAGATTCCAGCACTCAGCCCAGTCTGCGTGGCCGCACCGGCTCCACTCCTACACATACATAGCCAGATGCTCACAGCATCCTGGAATTGCTGATAAAACCCAGGAAGGGCCTGATAGGAGAGTGTAAATAAGTTCTAGAAAAGCCGGGGAGTAAAGATTCACACTGAGTCGCCGAGTGTCCCATGCAGTTCACAATGTAAGAGGCTTAAGAAATATTAAGAGGAATGTTAGGAGGTTAGGACGTTAGAGACTCGAGCTGCTGCTCCCCTGGGAGGCCTCAATTAGAATGAGTCAGTATTGACTTGGCCTTGGCTGAGCCAGACGCTTGGAGGATTTGCATTTCACCTGCCTTAGCTGTTATCATACAGGCCTTCCCGAACCTGTAGGGTCCTGTCCACCCTACTTTAGAACCCAAATGATAAGGTCAGCAGTGCCTATCAGACCCTGCAAGGCAGCAGCGAGGGGAGCGGGGCGGGGAAGGCTGATGTCAGGCGGGAACAAAGGTAAGTGGGATCAGGGAAGAGCTTTCAGTGTCCTCGCCACATCAAGAGGGTAAAAAACCCTCAACAACACACACACGGCAGTGAATTAAATGGATTCCCATTTCCATAAGGAAATTGGAAGTCCAGCGAGTTTCTTAAGGTGTAACGCAGGGTAGCGAGTGGTTCACCAGTAGAAATCCCTGCCCACCTGGGCACTTTGCCTCTCTCCTCTCGCTCTACATCTCCTCATACTTTAGATTTAGATCCTCACAGGGTGGGGGAGATTATATTATAGTCAGAGGTTACAAATTGACTAGGGGCTAGCGACAAAGAAGGGATAATGATTTCATGAGAGACTTAACCATTTTTATTTGCACGAAGTAGCGGATGTAATCACAGATCATCAGTTTCACTGGGCATCAGCTTCTAGAGATTTCCTCCCAATCTGCTGAGGTAAACTGTACTTTTCTTAAGATTTCGTAAAGCCGGTGTGTGAAGCAGGGGCATCGTGAATTAGGTTGAATGAATTCAGATGAGAAAGTTCTGGTGCTTTCGTAGAAGTCATTCCTGGAGTGTTGGTTTTCTTTTCCAGTAGATACTGGAATAAAAACCATCATTTGGGAGATTTTTCCAGAATCGGCCCTGACTGACCTGGGGCTAGACAGCCTCCCCAAAACTTCTGCAGAAAGGATCTAGATCTCCCATTTCCCCAGAACCAGCCTGAGCTCAATCAGCATACAGACGAGGATCCAGAAGCAGTAAAACGAAGCCACTTTCCTTGTACTTCTGGCCGTTCTGACCACACATATTTTCTTCTCTAAGATTTGTTTGTTGCCTTAAGGGACTCTCACCCTCGGTGTGAAGAGGACTTTCATCCCTGAGCACCTACAGTAGAATGATGAATTTGTCTTTTCTCATGCAGATCCAGTAGTTCAACAAGAAAGCCCCATGTGGGCACGTGACACTAAGCTGAAGAGGCCAACGCTAGAGAGAAGAAACTTAGTCCCATCCTCGCAGCTCATGACAATGACCAAGAATACCCCCGAGAGAGCCAGAAAGGTAGACCCGAGTAGGTTTTCACAGAATGAGCCACGTCCAGCCCTATCCCAGGCCTTCCAGAGAACCAACAGTCCTCAGGTGATGAGCAAGTCCGTGGGGTCGCCACTCGCCACCACCACGCCTGTGGAAGGGTCAAAAAGGGTGCCATTTAGGTTCAGAGATGAAGATTTTTATTCCATTTTATCATTAAACCCTGAAGGGGAAAATGATGACACTGAAGAGGAGACCCACATCGAGGAAGAACTTTTGCTGGCCGGTATGCACCCACCCCGTTCTCCTTCCAATCATAGGAGAAGTCGATTTCTTGGGACATCGGCCACTCAGGCCAAAAATAAAAATTTTGAAGACAATCCTGAAAAGTGCAGAGCTGATTTTTTAAGAAGTGAGTGCAGTCATGGCCCACTAAAAAGCAATGCAATGGAGCCAGGGACAAAGCCGCCTTCTGTTGGACAAAGGATGTTCCAAGACCACAGACTGCCTGATGGGGGTTCTGCTAAAGAGGATGACAGCAGTGACAATGAAAACGAGGAAAAGACCTTTTGTTCATGGGACACCAAAACTGAACCTATTCTAGATGATGACCTCGACTCTGAAAATGTATTTAGCGATTGTACCTCTATGGATGATAAGCCTGGTACCCATGATTATGAAAGAGACTGGCAAACCTATTTAAACAGTTCTAGTACTTCTCTTGATTATTTCCTTTCTGGTAGACCGACAGCTGCTCCAAGAGCATCAATGAACTCATCTTATAACACTCCTGAATCATTGGTGCATTCTGACCCGAGAGATGACATTCCAGTGGACTTGTCGATGGCATCGACTTTAGTTCACAGTTCAGATTTAGACGGAAACTCAAGGTTTAACGTTCGTCGACCGCTGTCCCCCATTAGAAATAGAAATCCATTTGCCAGTGCTGAACACCACAGTTATCTTCCAGTAAACAGTGCACAGGAATTTGACGTTAGGAGAGCAGAAGCCATTACTTTAACAAGCCAATCTCAGGGGGATCCGTTCCGTACGGAAGACGTCTTGCTAAATCCTCAAAGCAGCGTGTCCGTGGTGGAGTCTCCCAGCTCCTCTCCGTCCAGAACGAACTTACAAGGCCACTTGCATGTCCCTGGGTCCCTACAACAAAATATCCCTTTTACTTTCTTGGCGGTGTCCGAGTTCCCGTATCGCAATGGCAGTGGGAACAGAATGGCCATCTCTGGTTTCACAGATGAGAAAGAAACCACTAAAATCAAGGCAGACCCCGAGAAGCTCAAGAAATTGCAAGAAAGGTGAGGAATTCTCATAATTTTATGTAAATGCACATATTATTTATTCACTTTTTTCCAATGCTGAAATAAGCAGTGCTTTCATTAGAGGGTCGTGAGAATTTTAAATCGTAGGCAGGTCCTTTCTTGACATTTTAATGACTGCTTCTATTGAGAAAATCATCTATTTTGTTGCTCTTGAAATACATGTATCTATAAAGAAAAGTTTGGTATTGCAGCTCAGTTTCTTCAGTATCCCCAAAGTGTTTTTCCTATGAATATCGTAACTTTAAGAAAGGCAAGTTTGCTAGATATAAAGTTTTCTGACCACGTCATAGGGCTAGCATTACTTGCTGACAATTAGGAACCAGTTTTTTTTGTTGTTGTTGTTGTTTTTTAATGAAAAGGTCGCTATCTCCCCAGAGAATGAGCCATTTGGCACTTGAAGTTCACCAGCTCTCCCTCATGGGACTTAGTGCAAATCCGACCAACCGTTCAAGAATTTAAATCTTCCAGACTAAAAGGCCGGTCCCTGGTGGTTACGTTACCATAATGACCTCAGGTCTCCGAAGGCCTGGGCTGGGGTAACCACTGCTTCCATTTTCTGTCTGTCTTATGCATGAGAGAGAGGAATAAGATCTTTTTAAAATTACCCTTTTCTTTGATCTTTCATTTCTTATGAGGTGATATTGGGATATTTCACAACTATGAAATTTGATGCTTTTAAAAGCCATCATTAAACATCCTGTCAGAATTCTACCGTTTCATTTACGATAGGCGTTACCAAGCCCTGATCTTGGCTTACAGATCTGGAAATCGATTCTTTGAATTAGAGCTCCCTTTGTGTAGGTTAGTATGGCTCACTTAGGCCATTAATTATCCTACAGATATTCATTTGTAAGTGGGGAAATTCCATGGCAATGAATTAGAATTGCAAGGGAAAAAAAGGAGAAAAAATAGAACATAGAGTGCACACGTCCTCCTAAATGCTGTCTATCCAACTGCAGAAATGAAGCAACTTTCTAGTTAGCCCTACCTTTATTTCCTCATATTAAACAGGCTACCAGAAGACCAAGCCCTGGTTAAGAGCCCAAAGGCCCCACCCTGCCCACTCTTCCCTACCCAAAAATGCAGCTTCAGACCCACCTGTCAGGAGTCTGACTGTCCACAGTCCCAAAGTGCTGCCTTTGCACTAAAAATGATTCTTTTTAATAATGTAACTACTTCTAAGCCCGGTAATGCATTAAACAGCTATTATTTGTGTACTTTGTTTATCTGACGCTCTCTTTTTTCTGTAATTAATCTTATGCTTTTCTTATTTCACAAATATTCATTTTAGGAAATATTAAAAATATAAACTTAAAAAGAAAAATCATCTGTAACCCTATAATCCAGAGATAAGCACTGTTAAAAAAACTGTTTCCAGTCTTTTATCTTTGCAGATAAATGCAATATTGAGTGAACATTGGCTTATATTTTATAATATGCCTTACTTTTAATATTTCAAGCCCATTTCTCAATGCCACTTACGCTCTAAAAAAAAATTTTCCCTCGGTTAGTTACTTTAATATCTACAAATAAGTATATGACATATGTACACTCTAGAGAATTAGAAACCAAACCAAACCCAGATTCTGGAATGTTGGCATAATCTGTGAGCAAGTGTCGTGTTATTGGTGGGCTCATGTCCAGGTTCATTGGTTCACCATTCATCCCAACCAACATCCGTTGAGTGGTCTCTCAGTGCAAATGCTTTGCCCGTAATACCGGATGCACTTTACAGTTTACAGAACAGGTTCGCCATCAGCCTCGCATCCAGTCTGCCCATCACCCTGTGAAGCAGGTAGCAGTAGTAGTATCATTGTCACCATGGCTTTACGGATGAGGAAACAGAGACCTGGGAAGCTTGTCCAAAGTCAAGCTTTGGAGCCATAGAGGCGAGCCTCAAACCCAGGTCCCCTGACCACAAACCTCATGCGCTCACCAACATGCCACATCGCCAGCTTCTTCACAGCAGGGAGAGGGGGTTCCGCCTCGGCAGCCCTTTCCCGCGCCTCTAGACTTAGGGTACCAGTGCCAGTTCTCCTGGCCTGCACGCCATGTCAGCATCTGCCAAGGAGCCTGATACAAGAATTCGTGCATCTACCATCAGTAGCCAGATCTGGAAGAATCATCAGTAGGATCACAGGGAGCAGTGGAGGGGCCTGGAGCCCTGGCATTGGGGCAGGCGTGGGGGCATGTTATTCCCTTCCCTTTCCTCTGTTATGTTAACACCCTAGGAACCGGTATTTGTGGAAATTGCAAAGGTGTCGACTCCTGCTCACAGGGCTTGTTTTCCATTTAGTCTCCTGGAGGAGGACTCCGAGGAGGAGGGAGACATGTGTCGGATCTGTCAGATAGCCGGGGGTTCCCCAACCAACCCCCTCCTGGAGCCTTGTGGCTGTGTGGGAAGCCTGCAGTTTGTCCATCAAGAGTGCCTGAAAAAGTGGCTGAAAGTGAAAATAACTTCAGGTAGGAGGGGAAGGAAGAGCAGCAAACTGGCGACCCATATGATAGGAGGCACCTCAGGGCGAGACTCAGCCTGGACAGCACCTCCCGCCCCTCCACGAGCCAGTGCCCTCACTTGCAGCCCCCGCAGATATGACAGATGAGGAGGGGCGGGGCTAAGTGCTGTCCTTAAATCGTGGGAGGGAAACGAAACTTTTTTCAAGTCTGAGAGAAGAATCTTGGACCATGTGCTATTGAACTCTACCCCTGCTTGAGGCCTGAGCAGGGGTGCTGAGCTTGCCTCCCCGGGGGAGGGAACTAGAAATGGGTCAGCGGTTGAACCTCAGGAAGCACCACTACGGCCACCATGCCAGCTAGTGGATGCCTGGAAGAGTTCTGCTTCCTTTTATTTGTTGGGGGAGGGAGGGTGTCACTGAAGAAACCGAGCAAAGCTGCCTCTTTGCAGTAGGGGTCGGAAAGAACTACTGATCGAATTGTCTAGAACCATATTGGACAAAAATTTCCATGTGCTAGTTTTGTCAGCTTTGTCTTTAATAGTGCTTATCACTGGGTGTGAAGCCCCTTCTCAACTCCCTGGGGAGGTTGTAACCTAAATACGGCCCCTAATAGGTGAGCTATGGTTTTCTTGGCAGAGAACAGGAGGTTTTCTTTAAAACACGGTTTTAGGAATGAGAGCAACTTGAACAACGACAGAAAATAAGAATAAAAACATCGAACACTAATGTAAAGAACAACTGGGTTAGGAAACAGTCGCTATGTCTCTCAGGCACACCGCTCTGAAACTTTTCACCCCATAGCCAGGTCCTATTTCTCTCCTCCCTGGTGACCATCCTTCCAGGCAGGCTGTGAGACCCATGAGCTTTAACTCTGTCCCCATGGGGCATGGCTGTGCCCCCTCCACCTCTCCACTATTGAGAGAACACCATTTAATGGAGGAATGAGCACAGAGGATGATTACATTAACCGTCTCCTCCCCGAGGCCCTTTGACCATATGTGCATCCTCCTGAGCACAAGGAAAGTAGGCCCACTGCCCACGCTGCTCGCGTGCATCTCCACATTGCATGCAGCAGACTCGGTCCTTCAGAGAGCAAAGAGACAAATGGGTTTCGGCAGCTTATGACTCTGCCATACAATGTTTTATCTTACTAGAAATTTGGGCCAAATTAGCGCAGAAAAAAAAATCACTCGTGAAATCGCGATGAATGTGCTGCTAAATGTGTGTCCATGTCAGCGGTATTGTGGGTGTGTTGAGCGGGGTTAGATGGAAAGACACATGGGACCCTCAGCAACCTAAAACATTACAGAACGATAATCTAAAAAAAAAAAATCAAGCAAACAAAATGCAGACAAGGGATTACTGTTCATCTTTGTCCTTTGAAATTCTCTATTATTTACTATCTCTCTATATCTCCAGTCGGGAAAAGTAGAACTGGCCTCTAAGACTGCACAAACCCTATCTTTACCAAATAAATGCAGGTAACTAATTTGTCCTCTATTTTCTAATGCATAAAATACACACCAGCACATCATTAGCCAAAATGCAACAACTACATGAGGGGCAAACGTGTGGCAGAATTTTTCCCAGACAGAACAGCCACAAGCCGGCATCTTCCATTTTTATATTAGGACTAAGATAAGCAAAGAAAAAAAAATGCTGATCTAGAATTCACATTTAAACACACATACACACACACACACACACACACACACACACACACACACACACACACACACAGAGAAAGAGAGGACGCCCTCTCATGTTTCTTTTCCCAAATGCAGCTGAGCTCAGGCTCAGGCGCTGGCCCTAGAGACTGCTGAGCTAGTGCCCACACCACGCCCCCCAGCTCCCTCACCTTTCTCAGGTGGGAAGTCACCTGCATGGGATTAAAGGCAGATTTTTTAAGCCATAGCTTGAGGATAGCTTTTGCCATCAATTTGGTCCTCACTAATTTATTCACTTGGACCTGCATTAGGTCTGTAAGAAAAACACAGCAAAAACAGAGGCCCAATATTTACTTTTATTTTGCAAACACCTGTGCTATAGACTCTCCACCTCCATGTAGCGAATCCAACTTTATGGAACAGTACGTTTATATTTAAACTGAAAGCAAGACCTGTTATTTAAAAATTTAAAAGTCATGGGAATTTTACTTCCATGAAGCTTGCATAACAATGAAAATGATTACAAAGGAAATTTTTCCGATTTCAGATTCAAGGTCATTTTCTACAGAAGATGGCTTACTTTAAAAAGAAGGTCGCTGAAACTCAGAATTCATAACACACACAAGTTTGCTCTCAAAATGTCAACACAAAAAAGACCCAAGCGTCAACACACAAAGACCTGGGGTTATATGTAACAAAGAATTCTTTAATTAAAGGAGCCGATCTAGGCGCTGTGAAGACCTGTGAGATGTGTAAACAAGGCCTGCTGGTCGACCTGGATGATTTTAACATGACCGAGTTCTACAGGAAGCACCAGCAGTCACGGGTAAGAGATGCTCACACCTACTTTGCCTCCACAGGCTCAAGTCGGTTAGAGGTAATCTAAGGAATGCAGAAGGCCTGTGTGCGGCATTGAGTTGGGAGTGTCCATTTGGCTCACTTCTTTGAGAAGATCTGTTACTAGACTGGACCACTGGAGGGTTGGAAAGTCTTGGCCACCCAGGGTTGAGGGCCCACTGCTGTCAGGGACAAAAGTAGGAAGCTGCAGTAGCTGACTGGACACACAGAAATAGGAAAAGCCTGGCAAGCTCTGAGCTCAAATTCGCTAAAGTAATTTAACTTTAGTAGCAACAAGAGAAAAAAAAAATCAGGGTCTCGAAGGAAGTGGTCCACAATTTATAGATCAGGTACTCTGGGATAATAAGGAACTGCTCAACTCAAGGGTGATAAACATGTAGTAAGCACCTACTGTGTGCTTTTTAACACCTAGTGAATTAACTCTCCTGGGGTATTTGGATCGCGTTTCTAATACAGTGAAGGAGTTAGTTAACCTTAGGTGGGAAGGTGATTTATGCCCAGGATAATAGTTAATTGCCCAATTCTCAGGTAAACAATCTCTATTTAGAACTGCACTGCACAATATGGAAGCCACAAGCCACATGTGGCTCATGAACAGGCCGCTACTTCCAATCACACCAAATTGCAAAGACTCAGTACCAAAAGAATGTAAAGGATCACGTAAATAAATTTATATTAATTATGTGTCGTGATAATATTTTGGATATATTGGGTTGAATAAAATAGATTGCTAAAATTAACTTCACCAGTTTTTCTTTTTACTTCTTTAACGTGGCTACTTGGAATTTTCAAATTACATGTGCGGCTTGCCTATGTGGCTCACATCGTATTTCTATTGGGTGGTGCTGATCTAGAAGGTGCCTTGTACATAATAAGCAGTCTATAAATATTTATCAAATGAAAACAGCCCACATTACCATTATAATTTAAGACTGACCTCTCTTACAATGTGATTAGGAAAAAATGATTAATAATCACAACCGTAAAGCATGTAATTTTAAAACTATAAAATCATTGTTAACAACTAAAATGTCACCCTTCAGAGGAGAAGTCACTTCAGCTCTCAGATAGTTAGCCTGTATCCAGGACTTTTTTTGTTTTGTTTTGTTTTGTTTTTTGTAAATAGCACAGCTGAGTCCAAATGGTACATGTGAGTCTGGGCAATTCCATAATTATTTTTTTTAAAAAAACCCTAAGGCCGCTAGACCGAAGAACAAAATCTTGATAAGAATGGGGCTTTGAACAGCACAACTAGTAAGTTTGGTATCACGGACATAATGCCACAGCAGCATTGCAGAGGACGGGCATCAGGACATGGACGGGAGGAAGAAAGAATTTCCTGAGAAATAAGTTCAGTATTTTGAGTCCATGCACTTTGAGGGTCTTGACTCCCTCATGAACCCCAGGCACCGAGATCTGAGATGAGAAACAGAAGCAACTCATATTCTTGGCCCCCGAGGATGCTGGAGTTAAAATAATGAAAGGAACCAGGCCCCCTGAGTGCCTGAGGTCAGGGTGCCAGCCGGAGTGCGGGCAGGTTCCATGTGGTCATCTCGAAGAACAGATTATTTCAGGAAGCACGGCCTGTCAGACTTCCTGAGAAGGACGTGTCCAGACGAGGCTAGGCACCTGGAATACTGCCAGGATGGTCTGCAGACACGACAAACACTGGGCAGCCCAGGGGAACGCCTCGTCCAGTAAATACCCCTTTTGGCCCAAGCATTTCCACATCATCCTCCCTCTGCCGAGCTGCTGCTGCCACCACCAAATACTGCTAGTTTATCGGTGGTGTTTGGAGAATTTGACTCGCTAACAGCAAATTTTTCTAGTTGTACTAAAACATTTGCACTTATGAAGCCAGAGGCAGCCCAGCCCTCCAAAAAGCACACCAGCTTTGACTCAGATGTGAACCTAAAGCTTGTTCCCTTCCCCAAAGTTGCTGGATGACCTTGGGGAAACTGTATCAACTCTCTGATCTCAGTTCTCTCATCGGTAGGAAGCAGGAGATGATCATTCCTACCTCGCAGGGTCGGGTGTCGGAAAAGTCCCGAGTACATCACCTGATACAGTGCCTGTGCCGAGCAGGCTCTCAGTGAGAACCGCCATGTTAGAGCCACAGAAACTCCTGGCGTCTTTGGCACTCCAGGGAGAAAGCCAAGTGTACCAGGACCAAGCTGGAGTCCATCCCCGAAGCCAGCCAAGTGGCCCACGCAAGGGTCACACCCATATCCTTGGCTTCACTGAATCCTATCAGCTGGGATAACTGGCTACAAGCACATTCTAAAAAGAACTGTGGAAGTAATTGTGTCAGCCAGAGTCTGGGCAGGAAAAAGAGGATGGCACACTCACAAGGGGTGAGCGATGGGAGCTGAATGAAGAGCAAAAACTGTGGGCAGCGAAAGAAATCAACAAGGAATGACTAAGCATCTGAGGCCGCCCGTGACAAGAGGGGGCAGCTACTGAGATCAAGAGGGCTGTGGCTATAGGAGAGAGTCATCGACAGCCTGTGCCCTTCGGCAGAGGGAAACAGTCACTGCCACACCACTGCCCGGCAGAGAGGGAACAAGGGCAATAATTACCCAGCCTCTCTCCCCTCCCTGCCTCCGGTCTCCCGCCAGGGCCTCCTGCCAGGGCCCCCCTCTGGCCAAACCCAATGGGAAGCCAGGGGACAAGGGAGCCTAGTTAGTGCAATCCACTGAGATCAGCCTCAGAGCAGGCTGGGAAGAGGATGGAAGGGAAAACGGAAACTATCCAGCATGGTAATTACTCCACTTGGAAGCAGAAAAGAGTTGAAATTAGTTTCAGTAAGAGCTCAACAGGCCCAAGTCTTTTGAAAATGCCCTTCATTATAATCACAGGTAGAGACCAGACTATCAGACCCACCCCGGTGGGAGAGCCAGTCCCGAGAACCAACGCACGCTATTTATCTGCTGATGGAAAAAGCAGTTGAGGTCTCACTTTTACAGCAGTTCTGACGGTTCCGATGGCCCGTTGTGAATTTAATGGTGTCTGTTTGCTAAACGTCTGAGTTCTACTTGAGACACTAGGGAAGCAGGACTTAGACAAGTTCGGGAACTCTGCCTGGATCCAGACTGAAGTACCTGTTCTTTACCACAAAGATATGGAAGACGTAATCCGAGCTCCCTGGGGAGGCCCCTAGGCGTGGCCCTGGAGTCCATGTGGGCACCTATGCTCCTGTGGCCCAGCCCCACGCCCGACTGCCACAGTCGGGGCCTCTGTGCCCTCTGAGTCAGCCCGCAGTGCTGTTAACTCCCGGAAAACAGGCTCTTTCATTGAGATGGGGTAGCTGGTGCCAAATATAGACATATACGATGTGAGGGACAAACTGGAAGACGCCTAGAATGGGCTTTAGCTCAGTGTGGCTCTCATTTGGCCTCAACTATCTAACTAACTTATTTTCTCATGCATTTTCCCCATTGAGATTTTTATTCTGCTTTTCTTTAATTATAAAAATCATAGAAACACGAAAATGTTCCCTAATTATATTAACATTTAGCCACATGCCTTTTTTTTCTCTCCTATTAAAATGCTGATGCCCCAGAGATTCTGATTTAACTGGTCTGGAATGGCACCAAGGTATTAATTTTTGTTAAGTGTGGCAAAATACGCATACCATAAAAGTTTGAACTTTTAAAACACTTACTGAGCGCCTACCGTACATCAAACACAGATGGAGATGCTACGGTGCCCACGACTAACATAGCCACCACCCCAGTGGCGAAAACCGAAGGGCCAGCCAGAACAAGGGACGCACTGGCGGCTGTGGGAACAGCTGCAGAGGGGTCTGGCTGGCTCTCAGGACCAGAGAAGGCCTCTCGATGGAGAGACGTCTCAGAACAAGAGAGAGTCCGTAGAGTCAAGGCTTGTGACCAGGCTTTGAGTGGCTAGATTAGAAACTCCTCTAGGCTGTCTGGAGAAAGGCCCCAGGAGGCGAATGCAGCCGTGGGACCCGGGACCTGGACTGAGCACTTTGGGATGCTGGCATCTGGTGGTCCCCCGCCCCCCGTAGGCCCGTCAGGGTGTGTGGCAGGCAGTTCAGCAACCTTTCTCATCTTATTCAAAGACGCCTGGAAACTGAGCCCAACAGGCCTGCACACCCGCGGCCCTTCCCTCTGATGGTGCCGCCTGCGAGGCAAGCCCTCGTTGCCTCCCACACGTGTCCACCGTAACCTGGAAGTAGGCTCGTGCTTGATTCTGCCTGGGGGGCCTCGGTCTTTGAGGGGAAGGAAGAACTCCTGGGTAGTGACATGTAGGGTTCCATGTAACATTCCAGGCTCCAAAAGGGGCCAGGAGGAAACGGGTTTAAGCAGCGTTTGGATCACAGATAGTACGCTCAAATGCCGTAGAGGCCAGGCAGGTTAACGAATGATCGTAATCTTCCAAGTGTCACCGATAGGGAGTGGTGGCAATTGTGGCAAATTGGAGAGTACTCTCTCCGACGGAAAATGTTCGTTTCTCCTTCCTTCCAGCCAGGGCAGGTCCGCAGGCTCATTGGCCAACACCTGTTGAGCCTAGGTTAGAGCAGTGGCTCTCAAAAAATGGGTGGTCTCCAGGCCAGTAGCATCAGCATCACCTGGGAACATGTTAGAAATGCACATTCTTAGGCCCCACCCCAGACTCACTGAACCAGAAACTGGGGGAGATTGGGGAGGTGGTGCCCAGCAACTGTGTTTTAAAGGGTTCTCTCCATAAATCTGATGCATGTAAAAGTCAAAGCCACTAGGGTCATGGTTGAACGGGCCACTGTCTGGTCCAAAATTATGCATTTTTTTCTCATTCTGTAATCTGTACATGTTTATTGAGCACACACTGTGTACCAGGCACTGGGCTAGGCACTAGGAGCACAGGAGCAAACAGGACACGTGTGGTCCTTGCCCTGAATTTTATCTTTAATTCTCAGCTCTCAAAAATATAGGACATTCTTGTTTTGCGAAATACCACATCCACTAGTATTCCTCATTTCGTCATAATGCCTTTGGGAAACAGGCAGAACAGAGGTGCCATCTCCCCTTTTACAAACGGAGTCACTTTGGCCATATACAATTAAGACTCTTGGCTCAAAGTCATAGCACTCAACGGCCCCAGACTGCCCATTCCAGGGCCCACGCCCACTGCGTGATGGAGATATGCTCTGTGGTCTTGGTCCCGCAGCACAGGAGGGACTCAGCGGGGCTCCGGCTGTCATTGCTCTGAAGCACAGGCCTGGCCTCGCTCCATCTCAACAACGGGCAGATGTCCTCGGACACACGCAGTCCCCTAATCACCCTCACACTTGGGAGCATCTCTTGAACATATTTGAAGACTTGATCAAAGAACATTCTGCCAGGCTGCCTGCTTCTTTGAGCAGATTAATGGAGACTATCCATCGGTACCAAACCTCTTGGTCAAAATGAATATTAAGAAAATGAGGAGGTGGGGGAGGGCAGGAGAAAAGAAAAACATCTGGCAGGAGGGCTGAGTGCTCCAGAGCTCTGGTCACTGCTCCACATGCTTCTGCACCACCCCCGCCCCCCACCCCCCACACGCATTGCATGTGGGTATCAAAATGCAATGCTACTGGGTCGGGAAGGGGTGAGTCAGGAGAAGCCCAATAAATAACGTCTCGAAACCTAGCTTGTTTTGCCCTTGCCGAACAAACACCATGGAACTCTTTTTTGATAACTAATCCCTCCCACTTGTGGCTCAGAAGATAAAGGATCGACTCTGTGCAATGCCTGCTCTGATTGGCTGGCCCGACCTCTTTGTCGAGCATCACAAGCTCTGCAAAGGGCCACATAAAGGAGCACGGCCAGCAAGATTTATGACGCCATGTGACAGGTTCCCTCCCACAGGCCAGAGAAGAGACACAATCTGCTAGAAGTGACTTTTCAAATTATCTGCAGAAAACATTAGCGAATATTTTCCCATCTGCATGCCTCTGGGCCTTATTGAGTCATAAAAAGTAAATGATTTCCCTGAATGCTTTGACAAACCTGATAGTTCCAAGCCATTTTCTAGCTGATTGATATGCCATTATATATCCAAGAGTCTCAAAGCATAAAAGGCTTACTGGCGAAGAGGGTGCAGGAGAAAAAACCATCGGCAGCTCGCAGGAGTTAGCCAGGGCTGAGAAAAGCAAACAGGGGAGGAGGCTTGGTTTGTGTGGAAGAGCTAAAGGGTAGGTTAGGAAGGCTTCCCGAAGGAGGTGGCTTGCGAAACAGACCATAAAGGGGGCACCAACCCATGGGGAAGGTGGGAGGAGGCAGTTAAAATAGAATAAAGTGAAAACAAGCAACTTCCTCACTGCCTGCTCCAGACCAAAGTCAGAAGAGCGCAGAAAACATGACTAAAGACTAAAAATACTATGTTAACTGCTAAGGACAATTGATGAGAGCCTTTAAAGATGGGTGTGTAGGGAGGTGGCGGCCGGGGTGGGGGTGGGGGGCTCGAGCAGTGACCTTGGGGCCAGAGGTCACCACAATGCAGAGTTGGCCGTGATTCAGAAAGAATTGCACATCCATCCTTGCTCAATTTGTCACCTTTTCTGGCAGCTGTTAGGTCCTGGACGGGGTGTGTTCTGTGCCAGCTTCCTAAGCTGCCCTTGATGGAATGGGAACAGGGACATGAGCCCGTAAAGTGGCTTGGACCGCTGCGGGAGGAAGGAAGAGGCACTGAGGTGGTCATTGTGTGTCATGTCCAAGCTTCAATTATCCTGGGAAAACTGTCACAGTTCGGATGTTTCCCAAGGGTGATGTAAAGGGCTGTGCCCTCTGCCGAGGATCTTGGTCCCCCCCACCCCCAGGCCTTCCTGAGCACAGGCTGGCTCATTCCCAAGGTCCCCACCCATGGGGAGGTGGCATGAGGACAGACTGGGGATTAAAGTGGTGGAGGGGAGGAGTCTTGCTAATGCCACTAATTTATTGAAGGTCAATGAAACATCCACAGGGTGAGGTCTTGCAGCACAGACCTCCAAAGGAGCTGAGGACAGAGGAGCCATGGTCAGCCAGACGGCCAGATCCTCCCCCACGTACTTCCCTACGTTTAAGCACCAGTGAGGGAAAATAAAACACAACCCACCCACCGAGAAAAGGCAAGAACACACTAACAAGCGCAAGATGCAGTATCCAAAATAAAAACAAATGCTTAGGAGTCAGGGAGTACAGGAAAGATTGGGATGATTGTTAGGAGGTGACGTGACAGCAGTAAAAGAAGTTGTGGACGTGGCCTGGTAGAAAGCGGGGAGAGAGACATTCAAAACAGAGGCACAAAAACAAGCCAACAGAGCAAACAAGGAAGATCACGCGCAAAGGCCCTGAGGTTCACAGTGCCATCTGCGGCCCTGCCAGGCACACGCTCTCTGGGGGTTGAATGGTAATAGCCCAGCCTGGGGGCGGGCCTTACGTGAGACTATTATTAAGTTCATTCTTAAAGGGAGATGCCCCCGCGGCATCTGTGTCCCAGATTCTCCCACAGAAAACTTTGCTTAGCTAAAATGCAAGTAATCTCTGCTCAGAGGTCAGTAGCTGCATATTATACACAGCCCAACATTCAAACTCCTCACTTCTACCTAATACGGTCCCACTTCATCACCTCCTCAGCCCAATTTTTTTTTTTTTTGTTTTTAATCCAAAACGAACACCCTCCCCATAATCTCCGGACATGCCAGCGAGAAGGGAATTTTGCCCAATACACGCGCACTGGCTCCACCCCTTTGCTTTTGCTGGCATTTCGTGTCTCTGTCTGAAAGGCCCTTAACACCCCTCATGGCCACCTACCAAAGTCCCTCCCATCCTTTAAGGACCATCAAAGAAGCCTTGCCCTATGTCATACTCAGCCAGTGTCTTTCTGCCCTTCGTAGCGCTTGACGTACCTAGCTAGGACTGGAGCTGTTTATGAGTGCGGCTCTCTCTCCTCCATCAGATGATGGGGCCCCAGCAGGATGCTGAGACCTTTTGCCCATGCTCCCCACAACACCCAGCTCTAGGCTTTAACGTGTAACTTCTCAGTGAATGTTCATGGGGTAGGATTGAGCCTGGAGCGTGGCGCTTTCCTGGGGCATCCTCCACTAAGCAGCAAAGAATTTCCGGGTGGCCGCCCAGCCTGCGCCTGGGTCCCCTCTGCTCTCGGGCTCTTGTCCCAGTTCTTGTCACTTCTTGTCCTTGCTACCCTTCGCCCCATGATTTAGATCCTGAATATTTTATAGATGAACTTAAGAACTTTCTTTTCCAAATTCAGGCACAAAATGAGCTGATGAATTCAGGCTTATACCTGGTGCTGCTGCTTCACCTCTATGAGCAGAGGTTTGCAGAACTCATGAGAATCAACTACAACCGGGCTGTGAGAGAGAGGGTAAGTCTGGCTCTGACCCGGACCATCCGGCAGCAGGCCCAGAAACCTTGCAGTGTTATGAGATGTGAAATCTGTTGAGAGCCTTGCGGTCACTTGGTGGGATATGGCACTGTCATTATTAGGACTCAGAGTGGCTGCTAAGTGTATGCACAGTGGTCCTCCGGCTGAAAAGTAAGTGGTAATCACATAATTGCTTACTATTAAGCATGAGTAGTCATGCAATGGTCATTAATGGTCCTAGAGGTGAGTGAGTCTCTAGAGATATTTTCTCCCCAAAAGAGAGGCCAGTGAGCCTGCCGGGGCTGGGTGTGCATTATGTGGGGGCATATCCACTGCCCAAGCATGGAGGGCCCATGAAAACAGGGACTTCTCCCATGGGAGAGCTGTTTATTTTGCTTATTCCAGCGTCTGTGTGTGAGAGTGCATGCCAAGAAATAAAGGTGCTGATGGAATCGCCATTTGTCACTACAGGAGTGACAATGTAGTTACCAAGAATACATCTATATGTCTGCCCTTCACTTAATAAGAGAACTAGGGACCCTCTAGAACAAGGGTCCCCAAACCCCCAGGCTGCAGACTGGTACCAGTTCTTGGCCTGTTAGGAACCGGGCCGCACAGCCTGAGGTGAGTGGCAGGTGAGCGAGCGAAGCTTCATCTGTATTTGCAGCCGCTCCCCAGCGCTAGCATCACCGCCTCAGCTCCACCTCACATCCTCGGGCATTAGAGTCTCATAGGAGCGCCGGTCCCTGGTGCCAGAAAGGTTGGGGACCGCTGCTGGGAGGCTTGATGGTGTGGAGGGAGAAGCCTGGGTCTGCTGCTAACTGGAGCCTGGCCTTAGCCAAGTCAACCAGAATGTGGGAGGTGGACAGACCAACCTCTGAAGCGTCTTGGTCATTGTCAAGTCAGAACCCTGAGCCCCAAACTTCCCTCTCGGTTAAATGCCTCTCTGTGGCCGGCCCAGGAGAGAGCGGGTATACTTTTAGTGTTTGGGTTCCCAGAACACCCCTTGAGGCTTGGAACTTGACATCTGCTCATGTCAGGTCATGACTGGAAAAAGGACACCGATGTAGCAGTGAACGAGCCACCAGTGGTGCCACGGGGCAGTCTCAGCGACACTCTCCACCCTCTCCCATGAACCTCTCTTCCTCTTCACTTTCTTCTCTATCTCTGTCTCCTCCTCTACCTCACATGGATGAGAGGCATCTGCCAGCGTAGTCACTGCCTACAGGTTGGAAGCCAGGGATTCCAAGTGTTGCTTCCGTCCCCAGACCTTGCATGACTGGAGGCTCTCGTAAGCCACTTGGAGCCGTCCCTGTTAAAAACGCCTGGTTCAAACCCTTAGTCATGAGAATTCTAGCTTTGTCCCTTCTTTTTTTTTCTGGCTTCAATCGCCCCCACCCCCACCCTTGACCCAAAGCTCTCAGCTAAGAAAACAGGCTGGGCCTTTGCCAAGCTATCTCCTCAGAAATCTCACCCTCTTTTTGACCTGGGCCTGTCCTTCCTTTGACTCTTCCGCAGTTTTAATGGTGACATAAATTCCTCAGAGAAATACATTTAAAAAAGAAAAAAAAAAAAGGAAAATAATAGTACAAGAAGCAGGAAATGATCCTTTGTTAACATTTCTGTAACTTCATTTCCATGCTTCCACATCTTTTTAATGAACTTTTTATTGCGCATGGAACTTCAAAGCACCCGGGGTTGATATAGGTTACAGATGGCCGCAGTGTCAGCGAGCTAATAATGCAAGGGATGTTAGCCTCCAAATCAACAAAGCAAGCACGAGAAGACAACAAACAGCACAACCCGGCGGGTGGAAAAGCACGGCTCTAAAGCACTGCCTCTGGAGAACCTGCTGGTCAAACTATCCCAGAGAAGGAGTAAGGGACACCAGGGGCAAGCCACGAACCAGGGGGGAAGGAGGCATAAAGGACAGGGCCACGTGCTTCCCTAAGCACAGCTTACATTGGAGGAACCTGAGACAGACCTCACCCACTAAACCGGCAAGCCATCACCGGCACAAACGACTGGCCAAGAGGTACACAGATGGTAGTAGGAAAGCAACGGCTTTTGTCAGATTCACACTTCTGCATTTGAATCTCAGTATTTTCTTGCAGAAAATACTCAGAATCTGTGGGTAACATTTAGCAAAAGAGAGGCACCGTGGGAGGAGACAGCCCTCCTTCCCGCTCCCTCACCTACCAGAACTGGAGGGCTCGTTCACGACGGGCCTCTAGGTTGTGCCTCGCTAATGCGCCCAGTGATGAATGACTGTCAGTGGCAATGACCATTCATTCACTCATTCATTTCATGCCCTGACCTATATCGGGTGCTGAGATGAGATCAGAGAGAGTGGCTACCAGACGGGATGCCACGAGTCCTCTGTGACGCTTACAGTCGGGGTGGAATTTATAAAACCAGGAAATATTATATCTATAAACCAGAAAGTAATTGGAAAGGAACGCTTGGTCAGGAGGACCAATGGCCCCAGTGAATTCCCAGGAGGTGTAAAATTGACAACTGCAGATTTTCCCTAGCTGGGGCTTCCTGAGGTTTCTAATGATCCCATGAGCAAACAATTTGTCTCCCCAGTGAGGCTGTGAGCTATTTGAAGGCAAAGCCAGGCCTTCCACTCCTGTCTCTCAGGATGCTGGCACACAGAGAATCGTATCTGACTGCTGACCATGTCCGAGGCACGATGTATGCCAGGAGCACTGACTGATTCTATAAGTGCTAAATGACTGCCAAATAAAGACGTGGTCTTGTGGGCTGGGGGTGAGGTGTTTCATTAGCAACTTGGGCATGGAACCCTTATCTCTTTTGTACCCCCACAGTCCTCCAGTACCTAGAAATTGCCTAGCACATAATAGGTATTCTAGGTGAAGGAACACCCAAGTTCAAGGTATATTTATGTATTCAAAGATTTTCTGTGTGCCTACAATGGGCCAGGTTCTAACCTGGATTTCTGGGAAAACAAAGATGATTAAGATATTTCTTGCCTATAAGGCCCTCAGAGTCTAAAGAGAGACTGGACGGGTAACCAAGAGTATCAAAAATGTGCCCAGCGTTATGGTAAAAAGTCTGAGCCAGCTGCGGAGAAACGGAGCAGAGTTGGATGACAGAGGAGCCGCCCTCCTCGTCCCCGCCTTCCACTCCTTCTCCGGGACACCCTCCAGGCAGGGTCTTCGGGGACAGAAGTCCATGTTTCCGAGGCCTTGCTTCTAAGCCACGTAGGTTGTACTCTTTGCCATCAGTCTTCCCACTGCTTTGAGAGCCCAGTGGCAAAGCTGCTTCCATTATTACTTTTGCTCAACTGATCAGCTGAGGTGATGTTTGCATTGAATCCTGGAGAGTTTAGCACATGGGCAAGGGTAGGTGGTGGAGGGTGGGGGTTGGCGGGGAGTAATTCCATGTGGAAGGAAATTCAAAGACTCAGAGACCTGGGAAAAGATCTGCATGTTTGGGAAAGTCAAGGAGTTGAGTGTGGCTGGGACTGGCAGGAAGTGAGCCTAGAGGCAGAAGCAGGGAGCAGGTTGTGAAGGGTTTGTGTGCAGCTCTAAAAGGCCAGCGAAGGTTTTCTAGCCTGGGATTAGCAGGCCAGGAGACTTGCATTTTTTGAGAGATAATCGGAGGGTGCGCTGGAGGGAGCTGACCCCAGCTGGGTAGCAGTTGCAATGGTACAGGGTGAGGGGCTGAGTGGAGAATCTGGTCACCTATCCCCAGAGCTTGAACAACTGAGGTGCTGTCATGTAGACAGTACTTGGAGTCGGGCAGGTCTGGATGCAGGGAGTCCCTTCTCAGACCCACTTCATGGGATCACTGGGAAAGGCCATGTGGGGAGCCCTGGAGACGGGAAGGACAGACTTGGTGGGCGCGGAGCGAGGCCGGGGCTGAAGGAAGCGCTGAACGGTGCTCTCTGTCGTGCCCAGCAGGAAGCCGTCCTTCTCTCGCTTTAGTGCTCATGGGAGGGGCACCTCCGGGGACACAAGACCCCACCAGACTCGTGACCTGACTCGGCTCCCCCTTGAATCTGATAGGGACCCATGGGTGGCCTGTGAGATGGAGCTACATGGACTTGCCTTCTCTCTCCTCCCTCCCTTTCAGCACCCACCCAGAGCACTCCATTATTCAAGGCCTGCACCCCCAAAACCTCCTAGCCTGGGCATCCTCATAGCTGTAGGCCTTGTCTCTACCATGCTCACCATCCCTCCAATGAAATGTACCTGGACCTCGAATTTCCCTCCCTGCCTGCCCTTGGCAGCTCCCCTGTCCCCTTAGGGGCCTATTTCCCTGAACTCTGTAAAGCACTAGCGAGAATCCCTGTCAGTGGGCTGAAGGCAAAGGGCGAGGGACCCCAGGCCTTCCCCACCATTGCGGTGATCTCCTGGAGTGAGGCCACCTTTGTCTCCTGCCCCAGGTGTGCCGCAGTAACCCTGCACCTTCAGGAAAGCTTCACATGTAAGAGACTAGGGGGGAGGGGAGGGGCAGCGCAGTGTGGCTGGCCTGGGCAGCAGGGTAGGGTCTTGAAGTAGTTTTCAGATCCCATCGATCCATTCACGTGCGAGGCCGGGCGAACTTTCTCTAGGCCCTCCCCATTCACACCCTCTCTACCAAACCCAAACTCTCACCTCAAAGGACCAAACCCACCCAGAATATGAGAGATCCAGGCTCGGCCCACACTCATCATGAGGACTTTTCCCGGTAGAGTGTGAGAGCTGGTTTAGAGCGATGTGATCACCGGGCACAGAGTCTGGGGGCGGGATGAACTCCTGTCAGCAGCCCCGAGAAAATGGAGGCCATGGTTAGCACAGTCCTGATGTATAATTTACCAGGTAAACGGCACTGCTATTGTATAAGAAACTCCATCCTTCTCTGCCCTCTTTCTGGCCAGCAGGTGAGAGGCACCCAGGGGCCCAAAGCTGCCTCTACACCGGCCAGGCAGTTGCCCCAGTAACAGTGTCTGGCACCCCTTGTTTTGATCCCCAGCCTATCACAAAACCCCTCTTCTCCTGGGGTTAGAGCACCAGCCTGCAGCGGCGAGCCCACAGCCTTGCAGCCTGGCACAATGGGCTCCCACGGAGTACACAGTGTTTCTTATTGTGGCATAAAATGCCATAAAGTCAGGACAAAGACGAAGCCCAGAGCCTCGATGTGCCTGCTGCTTCCTGCCGGGCAGAGAATCAAGCGATTGTTTAAAAGCCAGTGGTGAGGCAAGTGGCCAATTAGCACGGCCTTCACCCCCACTGGCCTGTGATTCTGACCATCAGAATGGGGTTCTGCCATTCAGATCAATTGCGGAGAGGATGGAGTCTGCTTTCACTGCTGAATTTAGAGGCCCTGAACCAGCAAGGTGACCAGCCCTGCAGATGCGGACTTAACATTACCATGCCCTTGGCACCTCCGCCCATTTCCTCTGCCCCATTAAGGTGATGTAAGGGATTTCTAGAACATTCCTGAGACTAGGGAATTATACATCTGTTCACAACTGCTGTGGAAAAACAATTCATTTTTCATTGTCTTCTTTCTCATAGTTGTCAAGAAATTTCCCACAACCCAGACCAGAAGAAAATGAAAGTAGGTTTGGGGGTCAGTCTTACCATTTGGAGGGGGTTTGCTAATTTACTCTCTTTCTGTCACTGTGTTGAACCTAATATGTGGAAGGAAGTAATGACCACCACCCGGAGGCGAAAAATAACCCCGCAAAGCTGGGGACACTCTAGCTGCAGCAGTCAGGAAGGCGAGTCCCAGTACGCTGGACGCAGAGGAGATAAGAATTTTGATTCATCCCGACAGCAAGGAAAAGGGCCGACAAAAGCGAAGATGGTTTTGTCGGACCTACAATGACTTGCTGCAGGTCGTTCTCCTTTCCTTTTGCTGGAATTCTGCAGCCTCCAGTACTTGGGGGAGCCTCTCAGGTTATTTTCCAAACCCCGGAAGGGGGCCCTTTCGCTATTACCGGAAGGGACCACATTCGATCACAAGCTGGGGACTTTATTGAATTTTTCTCACCGTGGGGCCCAATCCAGTAGGTCTGTCTGCTGGATTCAGAGATTGAACAAGGAAAACAGGTCTCCTGAGAAAGGTCCCTCGAAGCAGGCAAACCTGTCTTCAAACGGGTTCGTTATCCCATAGAAAACCCAATGAAGAAAATGTGCTAAGTTAAAGCAGGAGCGCTTGCAGTCAGACCCAGGCAGAGCTTCTCCATCGGCAAGGAAAGTGAACGTTACAGTGAACAGAGTGGGAAGAGACAATTCGGTCCCCAGAGGCTCTTCTAGGGGAGAAATTTTACAGCTGCCGGCCCTAAAAGGTTGAGAACAGCCACTCCCGCACTGACTTTGCCACCAGAATCACCTGGGGACTTACCCAAAGTAGATTCCTGGGCCTCTCAGAGATTCCGAGTCAGGCCAAGGGGATGAGTCCCTGGTGATCCCGACGCAGCCAGTTACGGGGATGCTTTTGGGAACCCCAATAGACCTGCCTGGAGAAGCTGAACCAGCTCAAAACTGCACAGGGTGGGGCCCAGATGACGACGCTAGAGAACCCAGTTTACTCTTCGGGGCCCGCAGTCCCCAGAACTCGGGGGGCCATCTTCAGAGGCGCAGGGAGGACCATCCCCTCCGTGCACAAAGAATCCCAGTCCCGGGTGCGACCGCGGGTGTCCAGCGGAGCCGGGTGAGGGCCCAGTGCCTCCTCGTGATCTCCGGGGGCCACTTTCTGGCCAGCTGCCCCCGACGCCCAGCACTGCCGCTAGGGCCGACCCAGAGTTGCTGCCACCCCCCACCCCACCCCCGGCAGCTGGGAAGGGAGCGAGCGGGAAGGGAGCTGTGCGGTGGAGAAAAGACCTTTGTGTCGCGGGCGCGCACACCCCCTCTAGGGGAAAACGCCTGCGCGTCTCGCCTCTCGGTCCCAATCGCGGCATTTGGCGCGAGCCCCTGCCCCGGAAAGGGCGCGACGGTGAGCCGACCTCGGGCGCCGGGGAGGACTCCGGGCCGAGGCTCGGGCAGGGTCTCCGCGCTGCGCCTGGCTGGGCCCCTCCCCAACCCCCGCCCCGGAGGCGCCCGCGGCCCTCCCGGGTTCGAGGAAACCTCCTGCTCCTCTGCGCGCCCGCGTGGCTTCCGCTGGCCAGGGGCGCCCCCTAGTGCCCAGCGCGGGCCGCTGCCGCCCTGCTGTCCCGGGAGAGCTGAGCGAGACTGAGCCTTTCTCCTAGGGGCCGAGCTCGGGGGTGGGGAAGGGACACCCCGGCCAACGATCTCGGGCCGCAGGGGAGACTGACGTTTTGGGGGGGCAAGAGTAGAGCATCCTTGGGGTGGTGCTTAAAAAGGAGTCTCCACGGAGGCGGCTCTGCGAGTGTCCTGCGCTGCGAAGCTGCCCTCCCGCGTTGCTCGAGAGCTATCATTTGCCATCTCTCTTCAGTAAGCGGGGACTAGCTCTAGGATCCACCCACTACCCCGCCCCAGCCCCAATGTGGGGGCAGCCGGCTCTCCCCTGGAAATGTAGGTCTAGGTCCTCTCTACCTGCCCCCAGCCCTGGCGCAGCAGCGGCGGAAAAGAGCCCTGCACATAGGGACTGGCCTGGCACGCTGGTCAGACTCTGCCCATGCCCATGCCCTTGCCCAGCTTGCCGCCAGAGCCATGACTGAGAAAAGAGCCGGCGCAGCCAAAGGCAGATCCGCATGCCTTCCACCTTCCCCATCCGTCACACTCTTCTTTGGTCCCCAGCAGCCTGGCATGACTCACCTGGTTGGCAGCACTTTATTAAGATGGGTTGCCAGAGCTGAGTCACAGCTGTGACCTGCTGCCCTAGCTCATTTCGGGTAAACAGGGAGGAGAGAAAGGCAAAACATAAGGGTCCACCAGGTGGCACAAAGAGATGCCAACGTCTTTGAGGCTCTATGGTACCCATGCCAACCTTCTCATCAGGCACCCCCTCCCCTGCACCTGGGAATCGAGGCCACACACAAATGCCACAGGTGGCACCAAGGTAAGGGCAGCTGGGAAGAGTCCCTGGGTGGGGGTGCCCAGGTCTGACAACCCATCACATGACTCTGTGACCCAGCTCCCCTGACAGTTGCTTCCTAGCTGGCACGAATAACTGTCACCACAGCCAGGTCCACAGCCAGGGAGGGGAACATGCTTCCTGCAGCCATCAACACAGGTGTGGACAGGAGCAGGCATGAGGGCCAGAGCACCCCACCACCACCACCACCACCACCACCATATGCATGAGTCAAGACTATTAGCTTTGGGGGAGAGAACAGGATGGGGGAGGGAATGGCGGGGGCCACTCGTGGGGCTGGGGCTTCCTTGTGGCAGAAGTAGAAGCCCCCCTTCAATAGTCAGAAACCATTCATTTCCAAATAGTCAGGGGGCACTAACTCAAGCCGATAAGAAAAGAAATATATTGAAAACGAGAGTTTCCTCCAAGAATGAAGAAGGGTTCCCCCAACCCCATTCCATCTCCTCACTCAGACCCCACTGTCATCCCATTGCCTCTGTGCCTTCTTCTCCCTCCCTCCTATCCCATGACCCTCTGCTTCTAGCCATTTGATCTCTGAAAAACTTCCCTAAAACCTACATCTATTTTCCCCTTCCCCAAGTTAAGGAAGTGAGCTTATGTGGGGGCATTACCCTGAGAGGCTCCTCCAGCTATTCATCCTGCAAACATCTGCACCAGGCCATGTGGGGTTGTGGAGATGACTAAGGTGCTTTTGTTGAGGGACTTAGAGTCTAGCTGCCCTGGCCTGGCTAGAAGCCTAGTGCGGCAGTCTGGGAATTCCCAGACTGCGGGTCTCTGTTCCCCACACCGTTCCAGGCACTGCAGCATGTGTGTGGCTGGCCGCTGGGGCTGGGGTGGGGGACAAGGGGGCAGGAGGGGCGGCAATGCCACACCCCCTCCATGACAGATCTCGCAGTCAGCTATGGCTCTACAGACTGAGAGAGATTTTTGCTTTCCAGATTCTGAGTTGGGAGACGGAAGTGAAAGCAGCATTTATCAAAGCAACAGCCGGGTCATCTAGCAAGGGAGCTGGCCATGGAGCTCGGCGGAGACCTCGCTCCCAGCTGCCCTTTCTATGCCCCCCTGTGCCTCCCTGCCTTCCTCCTCCTCTTTACTGAAACTAAAACCATCGTGTCCAGTTACCACTTTCACCCACGCCACTCTCTCCTTGGGGTCTGGCTTGAGCATCTATGGACAGCAACAGTGACCAGCCCAGCCCCAGACAGCACAGGCCAAGTAGCCTGGGCTTGTTGAGCCCCTGGCAGGCTGTCTTGCTGCTGCCTCTCAGGCCAGATGCCCCAGGGGACCCAGCAGTCCTGACAGGCCCAGCGGCTTGGGGTCCCTCTGTTGAGGGTGCCTGTTCAGGCCTCACTCCACCGTGAGTGGAATTAAGCCGTGTATTCAGTAAACTGACTTAATTCACCCAGCTTCATTTTGTTTATTTCAATTCCCCTGGACAAAGGCTCAGGGACTCCAGTTGGGAGAAGGAAGCACATCTCACAGCCCCCACCCACCTCCACTTCTCCTTGCTCCCCGCCATCATTATTACAAGGGATGACACATCCTGGACCCCCATGGGCCGGGACACCTGGATGGCCAGCTGCCCCCCGCAGGTACCCACTTAGGACCTACTTGGTGCTTCTCTCCTTATCACATCTTAGGGCCCAGAGACCAGATCAAAAAAGGTCAGAGAAGGCTCATGATAAAACTGTGTGTGTGTGTGTGTGTGTGTGTGTGTGTGTGTGTGAGAGAGAGAGAGAGAGAGAGAGAGAGAGAGAGAGAGAGAGAATAATAAAGGATGGAGGGAACGAACTACTGATACATGCAAAAACACTATGCTAAGTGAAAGAAGCCAAACACAAAAGACTACATGTTGTATGATTCTATTTATATGCAATTTCTAGAAAAGGCAAAAGTCTAGAGACAGAAGGATCAGCGGTCGCAGGGCATTGGGACGAGGAGCAGAGGTTGACTGCAGGCAGCTCAAGACGAGTTTGGGTGTGATGAAGAAGGCATTCTAAAGCTGGTTCACGCTAAGGTTTACTCAACTGGATGACTTTACTAAAGTTCATTAAACTGTGCACTTAAATGGGTGAACTCTATGGTCTAATTGTAAAATATTCCTCAGTGAGTTTTCTGAAGACTGCAGGAAGGAACAGAGAGAGATGAGGAAGAGAAAGGCAATGTTGAGGGAAAAGACGTGCTTCTCCCCGTCCCCTCTAAGACTCCCACTCCTCAGGCCAGGAGTGGCCACTGCAGATTTTGCTGCAAAGAGGATTTTATCGGAGAGGAATTATGTAAGGTGCCAACAGGGTTTTAGGAAAACTGAACTCGGATTACCTCAAAATCTTGTTCCATTCTCCTATATTAGACAGTTAAACAAAGTGACTCAATTACTACAAACAAGTAGATTCAACGGGGCAGCCTACACCCAAGATCAAAGATCAAAACAGATATCTTTGAATGTTCAAAGAGCCTGGAAGGGCCATTCAAGTTGAAAATATCTCATGAAGTAAATAAAATTCCTAAAATCTCAAGTTCTTCCCTTCACAAATGGTACCCCAAGCCCTAACCATTCTACGAGAACACGGGCCTTTATTTTTTAGATAAACTTTAAAGTCGACGGCAGAGAAAAAGATTTGTCCAGGGGACAATATACGGAGAAATGTCTAAGAAGGGACAATGCATATTTTAAAATAAGTTTTATAAAAACCTGGATGGAATTTGAGCGGGCCATGTAAATATCCTGACGAGTCAAATCCACAGGAAGACGGAACAGTATTTGAGGCAGCTACACTGAGACCATCACAGGTTTACATCAGCCCGCGGGGTTTTGAAAACTAAGCTCTTTCTTCGGAAAAATATTTTAGAGATTTCCCAACACAACCAGGAGTGCCTCCTCTGAGGTCTGAGGTGAACTGACACCTACCCACCATCGTGCCATTCATTCAACATCACAGTAGCCCAGGCGTCTGCCAATGGGGCTTCTCATGGCCCGAGATGCCAGAAAGACCAAAGCTAACTTATTAAAAAACAGTGATGAAAAGGGCTATCTTTCCCCTTTATGACTAAATAAATATGGCCAAAATCTATCAGAGGTTGAGTCACAATGGCTGAAACACGGGGCCTTTCCAAGCTTTTGCCTCCTCAGGCAGCTGGCATCACGACCCTCAAACATTTATCAGCCATCGACTGTGTGCCAGGTTGTGAGGACACAGAAGAAACACACAATGCCCACCCTCTTGGAGCTCAGTCTTAATGGGGCGACAGGACACATATAGAAAATGCCAAATCGAGGTAATGTGAGCCCACAGTGCCACTTACAGAGCACTTCCTATGAGATACGGCTGGAGAATAAGCACTCTACATTTTTCTTTAATCTTCACAATAAGCCTGTGAGGCAGATATTATTAACCTCATGTTACATGGGAGGAAACCTGCATTAGGGTTCTCCAGAGAACAGAACCAATAGGATATATAGAGATAAACAGGAAGAGACTTATTATGCGGTTTCAGCTCATGCAATCACGGAGGCCGAGAAATCCTACGATCTGCCAAGACCCCAGAAAGATGGTGATGTAGTTCCAGTTCAAACCTGAAGGCTTGAGAACCCAGAGAACCAACCGTATATGAGTCCACGTCCAAGTCTGAAGGTCCAAGAGCCGGGAGCCCTGATGTTCAAGGGCAGGAGAAGATGGGTGGCCCAGCTCAAGCAGAGAGAAAATTCGCCCTTCCTCCGCCTTTTTGCTCTATTTGGGCCAACAATGGATTGGAAAATGCCCATCCACCCAGGGGAGGGCGATAGTCTTTATCATTTCAAATGCCAATCTCTTCAGGAAACACCCTCACAGACATACCCAGAAATAGTATTTATCAGCCATCTGGGCATCCCTTAGCCCAGTCAACTTGACACATAAAATTAACCATCACAAAGGCTAAGCTCAAGGAAGTTAAGTGATATGCTCAAGTTTACAGGGTGTAAGTCGGTCTGTTGGCCAAGGCCATGCTCCTGGCCTGCCTGAGAGAGAGGATTACATCCACCCTTAACCAGCTCCAGAAGTCAGGGGAATGGATGCAGCCAAGGCTCGTGGAGGAGAAAGGGCCTCAAAGGCTGGTGGAGCCCAGGCAGAGAGGCGAGGGAGGGACACATGCGCAGATGTAATGGGGTTGCTGGGCGGGGGAGCCAGGGGGCCCCTGAGGCCAGGTCAGGGCGCTGAGCGTCTACACACGGCCACAGGGAGCTACCCAAAGCCACCCCCAGACTGGTGAGATGAAGGAAGTGAGACCCGGAAGAACAGGTAGTAGAAGGGGAGCATACCCCATTGCTCATTGTCTTGGGTGGGCCGACTCGAGTTGGGGAGACGCAGGTGAGCTTTACAATATCTCTGCAATTCTACACACCTTATACCCCATGGCCCTGCCCCGACACCAAGGCTCCCCTGATACAGCTCCTCCTGCTTCTCAAAAGTTCCTGTTCCGCCGCTTCGCCTTAAGACCTACATCAGTACCTGTTTTTGCTAACCAGAAATCGTCCAAAGCAGCGTGTCACTTTCATGGAAAAAAAGGCGAAAAGTGAAAATAACATACAGTGTTCGTTTTACAGCGCACCCTGGGCAGCAGAAGTGGCGCCGCCAAGCTCCCTCCCTGGGTGCTCCACGCGGCGGCTCAGCGTGAGCCACCAGAGCCGTGAACTACCTGAGCTTTATGTCGATTTATGCTGTGCACCGTTAGCAAGATGTGCCGAAGGTACCAGAAATGCTCAAGAGAGCAGAGAGGTCGTGAGGGTGTTTCAAAGGGCGTAAAACCCAAACTTAATTAAGCATTTCAATCACGGTGAATGGATCAAAGACATCGTGTGTGCGCTGAATGTTGGGTCTTGGGATGCTCAAAAACGTTCCCGTGTAAGTGAGTGGTGGCTGTTTCTCTGCTTTACACCATTTAGGGCTACAGAAGGGTCGGCGGGAACGCTCTACTTTCGGATAGTGGGAGAACCTGGATCTCTCCTCCGCTGCCACAAGAACCAGGGGGAAAAGCTCACACTTAGCCCTAAACCCAAAATAGGCTTCTGAAGCCCTCAGCAGAGATGATAGATTCAGACAGTTCTCAAGTCTGAATCTGACTGCAAGATTGCAGCGGGGGGCTCTCCAGTGCTTGCTGCCCACCCCCCAACACTTTCTGTGGTGCAGGGAGGCCGGAGGAGAGGCGGCCTGGCAAGTTCTTCTCTTTGTGCTTCAGTTTCCTCATCTGTAAAGGTGGCAACAGCCCCCACCTCGTGGCGTGTCGACGGGACAAAGCGAGTTAATTCACGGAAAGCAGTTGGAACAGGGCAGCATTATCTTGGAGGAATGGCATGTCTGAGGCAGTGTCCTGAGTCCCTCGCGGCCCCAGTACGAGGAAAGACACCATCTAAAATTTCCCAAGACCCAGAGAGAGACAGAGAAAGGCAACAGAAGGGCATCTCTGCATAAGCCAGCAGGACACACGATGACAAGGACCAGGGCCCCAGACCCTGTAAGGCCTCACAGCTTAGAGGAGCAAAGGCACAAATGCTGACTATTTCAGAAAACCTTCGTTGACCGGGATTTCCCTTTAAAAGGGTCAAAACTAAAGTTCTGCCATCAGCCACTTTTGGAAGATAGTCCAGCTTGGGCACTGCCAGCACCAAATCCATTCCGAGTGGGAAGTACCTGCTTGCTGCGTCGCTCCTTTCCGTCCCTCCTTGTCTGGAAAAGCAGCCCGCTTGCTTTTCTAGACAAGGACAGACTGAAATCTGCAGCTCAAGACTAAAGTCAGCCCTTTCCTGGGGCTCTTGGCAGCCCAGGCCCCTAAGATAAAGAACATCAGGCCAGAGCTGAACATCTGGGCACTTTCATCTCACGCTGGTCCCCCTTGCAGCCTCTCCGTATTTCTTCCAAGTCCTTTCCCTTTCCCTCCCTCTTCCTGCCTTCCTTTCTCGGGGTCTTCCTTCAAGATGAAAGCTTTACCTTGTCCCTGCAGCAAACTCAAGCCCTAGGGCTCAGGCGGCTTGGCAGGGCTCAGGCAGCTTGGCAGTGTTCCAGGAGAGCCACGTGGTACTGCCGGCCAGCTGCTTGCCCCTGCGGCCTCACAGCACTGCCTGCTGGTCCAGGCCGGCTCTGCCAGGACACCGGGGAGGAGGCATCTCTGCCCTGACAAGAAGAGGCTGTGAAAGGCCTGACACCATTCGCTCATCCGTTCATGGATTCGGTGAGCTGTCACTGAAAATCCAGGTGGCCAGACCTGGGCCAGGTTGGCCCTGCCAGTGAAGGGTGGGCTCGGTGCCTGGCACACGAGCACCCTTTGCCGAGGCCCACGGGGACGGGTCTCAGGGTAGTCCTCAGATAGCAGAGATGGCATGTGGAGGAGGTGCTTAATGTCGAGTGAACTGAAACGAGCAGAAAGAAAAGCAGCTCGGCCACGTGCTCTACTGCAGCAGGGCTGCCCTGGAGCCAGAGGCAAATGGCCGGTATCCTCCTCTGGTGCCCCCCTTCCTCAGCAAGGAGGCTTAGGACAAGGTCTGTGGGGTACCCCCAGGGCCCCGTGAAGCTGTCTGAAATGCTTGCGGGTCGGGGCTGGGCTAAGAAAGGAAAGAGTAGTGAGGACAGGTGTTTCTGGAGCGATTTTAAACCTCTGGACACTCACCAGCCACTGCCCCCCAGACAGCCCTGGCTATCTGGGTCCTCACTTCCTTAGCTGCTCCTGCCACCCCAGGAGCCC